GGAATTAGGAAATGGGTTCGTTAACAATCATTCATTAATCATCCTCCACTTGAGAGGGCTGAGCAGCGTCACACAGGGAGACAATGAGAAAACAGGGAGCTGGAAATGCCACCCCTGGTTTGGGTTTTCTGTCAGTAAACAGCACAGCTGAGGTAAGAAAAACAAGAATTCCTCAGAAAAAGCAAACAGATTAGCAGAAATAATGATCCTTTAACCTTCAGCACCTCCCCTTCCCCTCCCTGTAAGGCAGGCAGAGCTCACAGGGATTCCATTCTCCTTCCCTGAGGGAAAAGCAGGCACCTGAAATGGGTTAGAAGAGAAAAAACCCTCCCAGATGAGACAGTGGAGCTCTGGGAGAAGCTCTGTTCCTGTCAGTGGGAAGCTCTGCTCCTGTCCTGTCCCTTCCTGGGAAGGGGACAATCTGTCTGTGCATTCAGCAGGGAGGAAACACCAGGGGGAGAAATCTGATGGATTAACTCAGACTCAAACAAGAACCACTTTAAAAGGCCAAGGCAGTGACTTTCCCTCTGCTCAGCCATGGCTGCTCACGAGACATCCCAAAATTACAATTCCAGGTGGAGGAAGGAGCCCAGCAAGGCCAGGTCTGTCCCCAGTGGGTCGTCCCCAGCCAAAGACTGGAACTTCCAGCCTAGCTCCCACCCCCAGGGCTCAGCACCACCCAAATTCCCCTCATTTTGCTGCCTAAACCCTTTCTGAGAGCCAAAGTCTCAGCAAAACATTTCACTGGAGCAGCTCCTTCCTCAGTTTTCCAGTTGCCAAAAGCTGAACCATCTGAGCTTGGGACAGGGAGGAGGAGAGCTCAGGGCATCCCCTCAGCTCCAGGGACAGACCCCAGAGCAGGTTTGGGAGGGTTTTTCCCACCCAGCTGTTCCAGCCGGATGCACAGAGGCCAGGATGGATCCCTGAAAGCCAAAGGCAGATTTGTGGATGCGTCCAAGGTGAGGATTCTGCTGAGGAGTGGGAGGATATTCCACGGCTGGAGGGATCACAGTTTCCCATCCAAGCCAGCAGCACCCGCTGCTGTGCATCCGTGGGGAAAGCCCAGCAGAAGGTGTCAGACCCAAAGGAAAATCCATAAAATCCACCTTTACAGGGTTCCATAAGCACACAACAGATTGGGGAAACATTCCCAACCCGAATAAAACAGCCACGGGGAAAAATCGACCCCAAATCACAGAACAGAAGGGATGAGAGCACACGGATCTGATGTCTCCTTGAAAGAAGGAAGAATTCCTAGAAGGAACTGGAGGAATTCCTTCCTCACTTCCCAATCCCAGCCCGGATCCTCCTCTGGAAGCGTTTCCCCACGGCCACTAGAGGAAGCTGCGACACTGCGCTGGGATAATCCCAAATGTGTCACCCGAGCTGCGGGGACCGGGGGCAGCCCCAAACCCTCCCCTGGAAAAAAACCCCGCTGGAAAAACGAACATTGCGGATTTCTCAAAGGGTCTGGTGCTCAGTGCGGGCACAGCTCTGGGGAAGTTTCCCAAAAAAGAGGGAAAATCACCGGGATGAGAACCCTGAAATCCCGCAGCTCCATCCTGGCACCACAATTCCCATTTAATGGCTCCAGCACGGAACAACCCACAACAAACCATGGGATGGGAGCGGCTCTGAATCCCCAAAGCTTCCCGGGGGTTGGGATGGAGCTGGAGCTCGGTCTGCTGAGCCAGCAGGGCCACGGGGAGGGGACACGAGGGGACACGGGGAGGGGACACGGAGCAGGGGATGCCCCACGCTGGGATGCGCAGCTGCCTTCAGCTCCATCCTTCCTCATCCTCAAAGCCCATGGAATTCTTCCTGGAAGAGGGACAGCACCCTCCAGGATAAGCAGGTGAGCACATTGTCACTTGTCACCACTCCTGTGGCAGCCCTGGGTCAGCCAGGGAGGGGACACCCAGGTGGGACAGCCCTGAGCACCTGGAGCAGGTGAAAAGCAGCAGCTGGAGAGATCCCAGCCGGATTTCCCAACACAAAGCTCTCCTGGAGCCACCAAAATGGGATTTTTTTTTGCCAGATTCTTTAAGGACCTCCAAGGTTGGAGTTCTGGACGCTGAGAATTTTGGACTTTCTGTACTGACAGACCCTGACTCCCAGGGGAGCACTGCATCTGACCTGAACACAAACCATCACCTCAAGCGCCTTCGATCCCAACCTCGACAGGAGGGAGAAAAAAGAAGCCCAAAAACGGCACTGCAGAGGAATTCCCTGATTCCAGGAGCTCACAGACCCTTCCGTGCCACCCTCAGGGACACGTGGCCACGCTGGTGGCTCTGAGCAGCCCCGAGCTGCTGCCACCCAAGGCACAAAGAGCCCACCCCAGCACTTCCCTGGATTTAAGCCCCCTGGAAAGGGCCCTCGCTGCCTCCTCCGTGGGAATGGAAAACATTTCATCCTCTTTTCTGGGAAAAAAGGGAAGAGGATTTTGTATTTCCAGCAGGTTCCTACAGAGGCTCCAGAGGGAATTGTGCTGTCCCACAGGGTGACACTGACAGCTTAGAAACTCTTTATTTAAATACTTTATTTAAAGCTTAACGCAGTTAACTTTTATATATATATATATATATATAGATAGATAGATATAAACAATTTCTTCTCTCACTTCCCTAAATGAAAGCTGGATTTAGGGGGATACATTACTTGGGGTGGGGGTTGTTGTTTTGTTTTTTTTTTTTCCTTCAAATAAAGTCATTTGTTATACATATAAAAATAGATTACTTGGGTCTCCTTTCAGTTACAGGGGGACACAAGGGACGGACAAAAGAATGGAAGACGAGCACAAGGACTTCCGAAAAGAAAAGAAAAACCAGTGGATTGAAGCATGTGGCACACTTGGAATTTATAGTGCAACAGCAAGCCAAGAACTCCACGCTCTGCGACACAAACATGGCACCACTCAGACTTGGGACACGTGGCCTTGCTCCCAACAGGGTCACGGCTCAACAGGACACGACAGCACCAAAAACCAAAAAAAAGGCTGAACTTCCAAAACCTGGAACCCCTGGAGCTGGGGGACGGGGATCTTTCCTCTTCCACGGATGGCAACAGCGGGAAATGTCGAAGGACGAGGGGGACACGAGGCTTGGCACTGCAGCCAGCTCCTGTCCCAGCAGGAACACCGACACAGCCAGCAGGGACGTGGGCATCCAGGGCATCCCAGAGCATCCCAGAGAATTCCAGAGGATTCCAGAGCATCCCAGATGATCCCACAGCATCCCAGAGGATCCCAGAGCACCCCAGAGCATCCCAGAGAAACCCAGAGGATCCATGAGCACCCCAGAGCATTCCAGAGAAACCCAGAGGATCCCAGAGGATGCCAGAGGACCCCAGAGGATCCCAGAGGATCCCAGAGCACCTCAGAGAATCACAGAGCATCCCAGGGAAATCCAGAGGATCCCAGAGGATCCCAGAGCACCCCAGAGGATCCCAGAGCACTCCAGAGGATCCCAGAGAATCCCAGAGCACCCCAGAGGATCCCAGAGCACCCCAGAGCACCCCAGATCATCCCAGAGGATCCCAGAGCACTCCAGATGGTCCCAGAGAATTCCAGAGCACCCCAGAGGATCCCAGAGCACCCCAGAGAAACCCAGAGGATCCCAGAGCACCCCAGAGAAACCCAGAGCACCCCAGAGGATCCCAGAGCACCCCAGAGGATCCCAGAGCACCCCAGAGCACCCCAGAGGATCCCAGAGGATCCCAGAGCACCCCAGAGCACTGCTCTCCATCGGAACAGGCACAGAGAAATCCAGGGAAAGGCTGAGCCACCGCGTGTCCCGCGGGGAGGGACGAGGGGACGTCCCGGGGCGGCTCAGCGCCACCCCGGCATCGAGACAAAAATCCACAGCAAAAGGCCACGAATGCACCCGGAATTTGAGCCCTTCCAGGTCCGCAGTTGAGAGAACAAACTGCACATTCACTCCTGGCACGGAGCTGAGGCACGTGGGTGTAGCAGCGGCTTTGATGCCGCTCCAGGCTCGGCTGCCCGGCGGCTCCGCTCCCACTCCCACGTCTCCCATTCCATTTCCCACCCACCCCGTGACAGTCAGCCCCCGGTTCACACGTTCTTCATTCCCAGCTGCTCTCCTCCACAGTGTTTTTCCCCCAGCTGGTGGCTCAACAAAGCCACCCAGCTCTTTTTGGGAGCTGTCCCCCCAGGCAGGAGCGAGCCCCGGCGAGCGCGCGCTGCAGGCTGGCACCAGTTTGGCAACGAACTGGGATGCAAAGGAGCAGTTCATAAATAAATAAGTAAACAAATAAATAAACCCACAGCACTTCTCAGCGGCTGCCAAATAGAACCCTCGTAAAAAAACAAAGCAGGGTATGGCACAAGTGAAGTCTTCTAGACCAAACTTCCAATCTCCCTCATGGTTGTGGCCTTTCCCTCCTCTTCTAAAGCAGGGGAGGGAATTTAAGGATTTAGGCAATCAGGTTTCTGTGATCACAGTGTGTGCCCATGGCTCTGTGTCCTCCTGGTTTCATTGCAGCTGCCCAATTGAAATTGGATCTGAGACAGGGACAGAAGGATAAAAAGCTTCAGGAACAAACAGTGAGCTGAGGGGGGAAAGGCCACGGCGTGAGCTCCCTCATCTCCAGGCACCACTGGAACCACAAGGCAAACCCCAGCTCCGGAGCGGCCTGGGCGCAGAGCTCTCCTGGAGATGCGAAATCCACGGGGAACGGGCTCCATGTGCACAGAGCTCCTGAAGCAGCTCGGTTTTGGGAGCACTCCCCGAGGCACTGCCCGGCTGGCTCTGCCCTGCCCCACCCCAGGCCGTGCCCTCCCGCCCAGAATTCAACCCTCAGAGTCACCGAACATCCCACAAGGCTTGAAAAACGAGCAACACAGAGAGGGGACGACAGACAGACGGACGAGCCTCAACAGCAGCAGCTGCAGGAGCCACGCTGGCCCCCGGCAGTGACAAACAGGGAAGGGCAATGGGAGCCACACTCGGGGGGGGCAGGACACAGCGAGGGGCAGGGACCAAAGCCACGACACGGGGCTGGCACTTGGGGCCCTCACAGGGGCAGGTCAGTGCTGTTGTGCCGAGTTTTCCTCGAGGTGCCATCGTCCCTGGGCAGGGCCCGCTGCAGGCTGGACATGGCCGCCGTCTTTTTGAGGTCGATGACGGCGTAGGAGTCGGTGCGGCGGGCACCGGGGCTGGCAGGGGCTGCCACTCGCGGCTCCTGCCGTCCCTTGCAGGGCTCGGGCTCCAGCTCCACCTGGATGTAGTTGAGCTGCCGTGGAGGCTCCGGGCAGGGCCGGGGGAAGTCGAAGCTGAAGACGTTGGGCAGGCGGCTGCGCCGCGGCCTGGGCAGGAAAGCGCGGCGCGGCTCCGCGGAATTCTGCAGGGGCTCCTCCTCGCCGGCCTCGGAGAAGCCATTTGGGGACGGCGTGGGTGCCGTGCCAGCGTCCTCGTCCCTGTGCCGGGCCGGCTGCAGCTCCCAGAGCGGCGGCAGCGCCGGCAGGTTCTCGTAGTGCAGCAGCGCCGAGCGGCGCTGGGAGCAGCTCCCGTCCTCCCGGGACACCTTGGAGCGGCCAGCCCGGCACAGGGACGAGGTGCTGGGGGCCACCAGCCCGTTGAGGTTCTCGTAGACGCACTGTGGGGACGGACAGCCCTGCTGGCACTCGTTGTTGTTGTTGTTGGGGGGGCAGAGGTGAGGCTGGCATTCCCGGGGGTGCCGGCACAGCCGGCGGTAGCCGGAGCTGGGAGCCAGCACGAATTTCACCTCCCCTGGCTGCAGGAAGACCTGGGGGTTGCGGTCTTCCAGGGAGCAGCTGTGGTTCCTAGGGGGGAAAGGAGGGTGGGCTTCAGGCAAGGAGTGCATACAGTGCCGGCCCCTCGGCTCCGGCTCCCCGGTGTTGACGTAGGTGTGGGACTGCAAGGAGAGAAGCAGAGGGACAGTGAAAGGAGGAGACAGCACAGACCAGAGCAAAGCAGCTGAGAAACCACCACGAGAGGGGAGTCGGTCAGTGGATGATGAGGGAAAAGGATTTTGGAAGTTGGGAAGGTTTTTGGAGGAAAAATGTAGAAGTTTGGGAGGTTTGGAGGTTTGGGAGGGAGACAACAAGAGTGCAGCTGCAGATACACCCTGTGTGTCCTCATGGATGGACTTCTGCAGGAATTTCCTCATGGAAAGGGTGGTCAGGCTTTGGAAGGGGCTGCCCAGGCAGGTTTGGAGCGCCCATCCCCAGAGGTGTCACCTGGACGTGGCACTCAGTGCTCAGGGTGGGGACCGGGCATGGTTGGATTTAATCTTTTCCAGCCCTTGTGATTCAGGGGTTCTGTGTCATGCTCGATGCACATCTCACAAGCTGTGTGTCCTCGAGTGGCTCACAGCTGATCCCACCACCCTCACACCTGCCCAGGCCTCCCTGGGGGTGGCTCAGACCAGCTGGGTTTTGTAGGAAAAATGCTAAAAATTCTACAACTGCGAGCAAAGAGCTGAACCTCGAAACCAGAAATAAAAAGGGTCTGAATTTAGGGGTTGTGTGACAGCTGGCAGGTCACTGCCACCCAAATTCCAGTGGGGTGAGGACAGAACTCAGATTTTTTTGACAGAACACCAGTTCTAGTGAAGCATCAAAGAGCAGGAGCCTCCAGGAGTAACATGAATAAAGAGAATAAAAAGAGTGACAAGGTGTGAGGATCCCCTGAGCTTTGAGTGAGGGAAACCCAGAAGTGCACCCAGCAGAGTTCAGGATGGGTTTACCTGCTCCTCAGGCCCCAGGAGGGGGTGGGTAGAGTCTTCCCCCACAGAGGAATGTCTCAGGCTGCTCACTGAGGGGTGCTGGGCTGCAGAGTAGGACAGGGATTCTCCAGTGAAGTTATGAAATCCATTGGGAAGTCCAGTGTAGCCCAGACCTGTGAGGGAATCAAGGCAGAGGAGCATTAAGTTGGTATAAAATAGAATTATTAGACTTTCAGAGTGAGCTGGGCTCTTGTGGACACCCTGGAAGGTAAAACCAGCCCATCCAGTGCTGGAACACACACACAAGGGCCAGGCCCTCCTTCAAATCTAAGGAATTCCTCATGGAGACAGGAATTGAGGCATCCCAATGCTCCAGCAGAAGCACAGCTGGCACTGCAGGAGGGCTGAGCCACTGTGGGATGGCACTGCTGCCACCACCCTGACCCACAGGGCTCAGCTCCTGCTCTGACTCTGCCAGGGTTGATTTGTATTACCGCATTTTTATTTTATTTTTATTTTTTTCCCTAATAAAGAGCTGTTATTCCTACTCCCACATCTTCCCCTGAGAGCCCCTTAATTTCAAAATTACAATAACTAGGAGGGAGGGGGTTTACATTCTCCATTTCAAGGGAGGTTCCTGCCTTCCTTAACAGACTTTTCAAAGCAAGACCCAGCCCAGCCCGTGTCCCCTGTGCTGTCCCCTTACTGCTGGGGCCCTGGGGGCTGTGGGCCAGCTCCCTCTCCGAGGAGTGGCTGTTCCTGGTGATCACCACGGGCTCCTCCACCACGTTGATGCTGTTGCACTGCATCAGGTCCTGCAGCAGGTTGAAGATTTCCTCTGCTCGGGAGCACTTGAAGGCAAAAATCCCTGCCAGGGACAGAGAGGAGGGTTGGAACAGCAAGGAAGGGATCCTGATTCAAAAATAGGTGTTGTTCCCGTTTCTAAACAATTCTGATTTATTCTGCTGTTGTTTAACACCATCAAGCCACAGGAAAACAACCAAGAACCCTGGGGGTTGATGTCACCCTGATTTTTTAAGATTTTCTAAACCTTCTGATGTTTACATTCTTGTAGCAAACTTTCTCACACACCTTCTGTTTTGCATTCTTTTATAGAAGAAGAGAAATTTGATGGACTGTTGGTTTTTCCAGTGTCATTGGAGAGGTGGCACTGTCACCCTCCAATCCACTGTCACCTTTAGAAATCTATAAATGTTGGAGTCAGAAAATAAACTTCCCTTTTTACCTTGAAAACAACGTGTTCACGTTATGTTTTTTCATGTCCTGTTGTGACAGATTATTCAGGAAATAACAGCACAAAATGATGGAATAGAATGGGTTGGCAGAGACCTCCAAGATCATCCAGTTGCACTGCCACAAGCCCAGGCTGCCCTGAGCTCCACCCAGCCTGGCTTTAAACCCCCTCAGTGCTGTTCCAGCCCACCCCACGCAGGTGTGGGGGGCCAGGTGAACTGCTCACCTCTCCCATCTGACCCCCCCCGGCATCCCCTCCATCCCTTTCCAGGGGAAAATCCAGGCAGTGACTCCTCAAAGCTCCCTGTGCACGGATGGGAATGATTTTTAAAAATGTCTGGGATTGAAGAGTCTGTCCCCAAAGGAGCAGCCCAGCCCAGGAGCCAATCCCAGGCTGGCACACGCACACACCACAGCCATGGCAACAGGAACAGCCTGGCAACAAGGGCTGCTCCCAAAGATCCTCATTTTCCACCTTCTGGCCAAAAAAAAAAAAAAAAAACCCAGCTGGATCTGCCTTGCATCAGGTGGGGAGCAGCATCAGTAAGGAGGGCTCCTTGATAAGCAGGATAAAATCCTACAAGGAAGGGAGGAAACTCAACAAAACACATCATCCCTCTCATTTCTGCCTGATAAAAACTCTGCAGGATGTCAGAGCTCTGCTCCATCCCCTCTGCCTGGACCTGAACAGAACCAAACCACGCAGAGGGCAGAACTTTCACCCCTGGATTAAATTTTCACCACTGATCCTCACCCTGCAAAAGGCAAAGCAGAAAGCCAAGGACAAATTCCCTGATGGGAGAGGAAAACCCCACTGAAATAAACATTAAAGAGCAGCAGATGCCAGTGCAGACTCACACAGACCCTGAGCACTCACGGGAGTCCTTCTGGAGTTTACAAACACATTAACAGAATGAGGAAACAACTTCTTCTTTTCTCCCAGGGAGATGCAGATGCCAAGGAAATGTTCAGCTCTTTTAAAAAGCAACAGAGCCAGACTGGTGAAGGAACCAAGAGGCACCACTGTAAAACTGTAATTCCTCTATTCCCAGCCCATTCCCAGTGCTGCTGTGACTTGGCAGCAGCTCCTGGGTGAGTCACTTCCCTCTCCGTGCTCACAGCACCAGGGAAACGTGGGATTCCTTTTCCTCTGCCACAAAGTTCCCAAATCAGAGCTCTGAGCAGAACCAAACTGGGAGGATGGGACTGCAGAACCCAATATGGAAATGCACCAAAACTTATGAAAGTGTGAAAACTCGTGACTCTGAATCCATCTTGGGTGGAGCCATGGCCAGGCTCTTGTACTGCCCAAGGTGTGTCCTTGAAGGGGTTCCTTGGGCAGGTAGGACAGGGGACAAGCAGGGACTGACCCTGCCCCCAGGGAACCCCCAGGGACTGACCCTGCCCCAAGGGAACCCCCAGGGACTGACCCTGCCCCCAGGGAACCCCCAGGGACTGACCCTGCCCCAAGGGAACCCCCAGGGACTGCCCCTGCCCCAAGGGAACCCCCAGGGACTGACCCTGTCCCCAGGGAGCCCTTCAGGCACTGACCCTGGCTGAGCACCGTCCCTGTCCCTGCCCCTGCCCCTGTCCCTTCCCTAGGCCCTGTCCCTGTTCCTGCTGCCCCAGGGATTGACACTGCCCCTGTCCCAGGGAGCCCCTCAGGCACTGTCCCTGTCCCTGCCCCTGTCCCTGTCGCCCCTGACAGTGACCCTAGCCGGGCACTGTCTCTGTCCCTACTGCCCTCGGCACTGTCCCTGTTCCTGTCCCTGCTGCCCTGTCCTGCCCCTGTCCCTGCTGTCCCCGCACTGTCCCTGCCCTGTCCCCGCTGTCCCCGCACTGACCCTGGCCGGTGTGGCAGCGGCGGCCGCTCTCGAAGGAGAAGAGGTTGGAGTCGAAGCCGTAGCGCCGCAGGCTCAGGTACGGCCACCGCACGGCATCGCGCTTGTGCGTGTGCAGGATCAGCTCCCGCGGCGTCAGCTCCATCACCCCCGAGCCCAGCTCGTGCCCCTCGTCGTCCACGTTGGTCACCTGCAGGGGACACGGGCAAAGCACAGCCACGCGTTGGGAAAAGCTGAGAGATCGGCTTTTTTGAAAAACGCGCGATTGGCTTTTCGCAAACGTTAAAATGAATGGCGGATGTGTTGCGTTAGAAATGCTGTATTAATTTTCTTAAGGACGGTGTTAAATATAGTTTTAGGTTATGACATAATGTTGAAATAGCAGCTATGCTATGGAAGGTACTGGCACCGAGATGGCAGCCACAGGACACGTAAATCTTTCAGAGAAAAAGAATTTATTGCTCTCTTATCGAGTTCTTCCCGCCTCGCAGACACCACCAGGATGCAGAGGAAGAAGTTGACACTGACCAGACAGAATCCTTTGTTTGAATGGAATTTATGCATCATGTGTCATGTGTATGAATATGCAACAGGCTGTTGCTTTTAAGGGTTAATCCTCTGTTAATGAGGGGCCTTTTTCGGGCTTATTTTGCCCACAAAGAGGTACCTGGACTGTCCATAACTCTTTGTTTTTATTGTCTCGTATTGTCCTAAATCCTAACTGTCCAAATTTTTATCACTCTAATTATATTACTATTTTTATAACCATTTTATTACTATTAAACTTTTAAAATTTTACCAAGTGATTGGTGTTTTTCACAAGGTCAAATCTCCACCAGCACTGAGGGATCAGACTGATGGAGACACCACCCATTTACAGGAGGTTGATCCTTTTCTTTATTAAGAAACTCATACTTTTCTTTACAAAGAAACTCACACTTTTGTAGACAGTTGTTGGAACCCTGGATGTTGAGAATTTTGGGCTTTCTGAGAGTTTTGGGCTTTCTGTGCTGAGGGGCACAGACCCACATGAGAACACTGAATTTGACCTGGGGCTGTAGAGATTTCCAAAATTGATTGATAGCCCTGGGATTAAAGGTAGGGAGTTGGTCAGAAGTGTGGTGGAAAATTTAGAATTTGGGGTTTTAGAATACAGAAATAAATATGAAGCAAGATGGAGGTTTCAGGGTGCAGGCAGGTTGTTCTTCTTCACCTTCTTCTTCCTTCTTCTCCATGGGTTGGGGTTGTATTTTGTAATTGGACAGAAAAATCCACATTGTGGACTTTGAGGGATCAGGTTTTGGGTTAAAAGGGAAAATAATCTAGGTGTCATTTCTTAATTGGATAGTTTAGCCTTAGAAGACCTTGTAACAAGAGAGAGTTGGCCATTTTGTGCCTTGCTAACGAGAGACTGCAGAACTCAGGGCTGTGAGGCTGTAAGTGATAAAAAACAATAAACACCAGAGTCTGAACATGAATTATCTCCAGTGCCTTCCATCCTGACCTGACAGAGGCAGAAAAAGCAAGAACAGAACCCACAGACAGTTATGGTACAGCTGGACTTAATTGGTCCTCCAATCCAAACACCATCACCACTGGTTAATTAAGAAATCACCCTTTGGTAAACAAATCTCCATAACACACTCCACAGCTCACAGTAACAAGTGTATAAATTAAGATCAGCATTGTTTTTCATTCTTTTTGCTCATCTTCTCACAGCCTTTCCCAGAACAATGCTTGGGAATGTTGTGTGTTTCTCTCTGTGGCCAGAGAGCTGCTGCCACACTGGGGAACTCCCTGGGCCTGACCACCCAATTTTCCATGAGGAAATTCGTGCTGATTTCCAGCCTAAACCTCCCCTTTTTGGGACACACAAGACTTTGGACCTGGTTGGCATAAGAGATTTGATAATCAGGATGCCTTGGCAAGAACAAAGAGCTTTGAGATGAAACCAGGCTGATTTACTGGATAAGAAAATCACATCAAGACTTCTGCAAGCGAGAGATGTTGTAAAATGCTGAAGTTTGTTTATGTGATGATATTAACTCAATCATTGTAGTAAAACATTACTAGCTTTCCTAAAATAGTATATTAGCATAGGTAGTCCACAATAGATTTGGACTTTTAGTCCACAATAAATTTGGATTCTTCTGACCATCTCTCAGAGTCCCCCTGTCTCTCTCATCATCACTGATATCCCCTGGCCCAGCCTGAGGCTGTTCCCTCTCCTCCTGTCCTTGTTCTCTGGGATCCCAAATCCCCCCTGGCTGTCCCCTCCTGTCAAGGCCAGAAATTCCCCCTGAGCCTCCTTTTCTCCAGGCTCAGCCCCTTTCCCAGCTCCTTCAGGATTCTCCAGCCCTTCCTCCAGGTGCTCCAGCTGCACTCCCTTCCCTGCAGCCCCTCCATGTCTCCCTTGCAGTGAGCACCCCGAGCTGCAGGGGTCCCTGAGCAGCCCCAAGCACTGCAATTCCATGGATTCCCCCCATTTCCTGCTGCCTTTTTCCCAGCTGACAGCAGGGATCCGTGGCTGGCAGGAGCTCAGCTGCTGTGGCTGAGCCCAGGCTCTGGAACACAGCCCTGAGCTATAAAAGGTTTTTCTCTCCAGTCCCCCATTTCCTTGCATTTCCCAAGCAGAGGCAATTTAGCAGCAAATACAAACACATTTTCAGCAGGAGTTTCTTAAGGAAAGGGGAGAAATAAAAACCCCAAACCAGAAGTGATGAATTTGCAAATCCTCTGGAGGGATGTTTGTGAGCAGGGGCAGGAGTTTGCTCTCCCCTCGTGCAGTCAGAGCTGTCCCAGACCCTCAGATGGGGTTGGAAAGGCAAAAATTTACCTTGAATTTGGTGGGATGGTTGTCTGGGATGCTGTCTGTGCACAGACAGCTGCAGCAGCTCCCCATGACGCCAGGCAGAGAGGCAATCCCTGGGGACAGGACACAAATGGTGGCACAATCAGATCCCAAATCCAGCTCTCCCACCCTCTCCAGCTGTGCCCTCCCCATCCCAGTGGGCCTGGAGCTCCAACTCTTTAATGAATGTTATAAATGTTAATTAAAACCAATTCTTACCATTAGGCAGTTGTTGGATTTGTTGTGGAGGAGTGAGAAGGAATTCCCACTGCAGTCCCTCTATCTCCCTCAGGATTTCATGGCAAGTAGTTTCACCTAAAACATGAGGGGAACACTCCCATCTTCCACCTGGCAAGGAGAACACAATTAAACAATGATAAAAGCAGAGAAAATTAAAAAGCAGGGGGTGGGAGAGTGACTGAACTTCCCTTCAGACAACCCAGGGAAAGCAGGTGCATTTTGTGTTTAATTAATTACATTTATATCAACACAGAAAACTCTGCACAACAATGACAAATACACAGCTAAAAATAAATTTTAAAAAATTAAATAAAGAGATATTTTATTTCCTGGCTTTGAGATTCCACAGAGGAGTGGGGTTTACCAGGGTGAAGGAAATAAAACTGAGCAGCCAGGGGTGGTGAGGCAGCTGCTGCTGCTGAGGAATGTGGAGGTGCCTTCACTGCAGGGAAGGTCCTTCAGGGTCAGAGAACCAGCAGCTGCTCTGCTTTGGAGTAGGAGAAGCAAAAAAAAAAAGGCTAGAAAACATTAAAATTCTGATATCTGACCCCAAAACCACAAAAATTCTGGTATCTGACCCAGTCAGGGTGAGGATCAGGCAGGGAGGAGGCAGTGAGGAACGCTCCTGTGGTTTGCACTCACAGTGAGAAATACTCCTGGGGTTTTGTTTAAATTGTAGTGAGAAAAGAGAAATTCTGCTATTCCTGATGGGAACGTGGGCAGGTGACAGGGGATGATGCCAGGTGTGCCCTGAGAGCAGCTCAGGGTCTCCACCTGATCCACCAGGATCCCCAGCCTGGCACCAGGGCAGGAAATGGCAATTTGGGACCCTCCTTCCACAGGAAACCTCTGTTTGGGACCCTCCTTCTATTTGGGACCTCCTTCCATTGGAAACCTCTTTCCTTTGGAAATTTTTTTCCATTGGAAACCTCTTTCTATTGGAAACCTCCTTCCATTGGGACCCTCTTTCCACTGGAAACCTCCTTCTATTGGAAACCTCTTTCCATTTGGAACCTCCTTCCATTGGAAACCTCTTTCCATTGGAATCTCTTTCCATTGGAAGCATCTTTATTTGGGACCCTCTTTCCATTGGAAACCTTCTTCCACTGGGAACTTTTTTCCATTGGAAACCTCTTTCTACTGGAAATCTCTTTATTTGGGACCCTCTTTCCATTTGGAACCTCTTCCCAGTGGAAACTTTTTTCCATTGGAAACCTTTTTCCATTGGGACCCTCTTTCCATTTGGAACCTCCTTCCCTTGGGACTCTCTTTCCACTGGAAATCTCTTTCCATTGGGACCCTCTTTCCACTGGAAACCTCCTTCCATTGGGAACCTCTTTCCATTTGAAACCTTCTTCCATTGGGAACCTCTTTCCATTGGAATCTCTTTCCATTGGAAGCATCTTTATTTGGGACCCTCTTTCCATTGGAAACCTTCTTCCACTGGGAACTTTTTTCCATTGGAAACCTCTTTCTACTGGAAATCTCTTTATTTGGGACCCTCTTTCCATTTGGAACCTCTTCCCAGTGGAAACTTTTTTCCATTGGAAACCTTTTTCCATTGGGACCCTCTTTCCATTTGGAACCTCCTTCCCTTGGGACTCTCTTTCCACTGGAAATCTCTTTCCATTGGGACCCTCTTTCCATTGGAAACTTTCTTCCACTGGGAACTTTTTTCCATTAGAAACCTTTTTCCATTGGGACCCTCTTTCCATTTGGAACCTCCTTCCATTGGGACTCTCTTTCCCTTGGGACTCTCCATTTCCTCTCTCCCTCTGCCAGACTCTGCCTCCCCCTCCTCCCAGTGAAATCCCAGATCACAGAGTGGCAGAGCTGCCCTGGGTCCCTTCCAGTGTGGAGGGAGGGGGAAGAGCCCCACTGGAGCTGCCCAAGGGTCCCATTCCACTTTCACATCAAAGCAGTTCCATAAATCACCTCCCACTGCACCCCTTTGGCCCTTGGAGAATTCCCCACCGTGCCCCAGCCCTGCCAAGTGCCCAGGAGAGGAAAGTTTCTTTCTGTGCAAGCTGAGAACAAACAAAGCCGGTGCCAGCTGCCCTCCTGCACACAGCTGCCAGCCCTAGAGCAGCACCACACCTTCCCCGTGCCACCCCACGCCCTGCCCCAGCCAGCCCAGCCTGCTGCTGCTCCTGGGCTCTGCAGGGATTGATTCCCCTCTCAGCCTTTGGGCAGCCAGAGCACAGCTCTGATCTGGGCACTGGGGGCTGGCTCCTCTCTGGCTGGGCTCTCCCACTCCCACCCCAGCAATTCCCTCAGGAATAACAGCTGGGAGAAAACATTCTGCCTTTTCTTCTTTCTTCACTCCTCTCCCTCCACCCCCATCTGTGAGGGGTCAGCCCGAAGTGCTCTGGCTTACCAAGGACAGTTTTTACACTGAGAACTGAACAAATGAACTAAAAAACCACCAGGAGCTCCCTGAGCTCTCCCTCAGCAGCATTCCTTCCACACAGCCACTGAGATTCCCGACTCTCCAGGCTCCTGCTGTGCACTTCCAGCTCACCTGTCTGCCAGTCCAGAGCCCAGCCAGGCCCTAAAACCACCCCAAGAGCCCAGCACGGTCCCCACAGCAGGACTGGGCCCCTCCTAAGGCCACCAGCCCCATCCAGACTCCCAGGATCCCAACCCAAATCCTCCTCAGCCCTGCCTGGACCAGGCTGTCCCAAATTCCCAGGTAGTTCCCATCCTCCCAAACCCCCAACCTGCAGAAGCCCCTCGTGCCTCCACCCCCCTTAAATGCAGAGCTGGAGAAGTTCCCCTAATCCCAAAGGGTCAGGGGGGCACCCTGACATTCCCTGCACAGGGACAGACGGGCACCTCGTGTGGAAAAGCAGCTGGTCCCACATCAACCCCTCCAGGACACGCAGGGACAGAGCCAACACGTCCTCCTGGGAGAAGGAGGGAGCAGGGGGACAGCTCTGGGGGCAGGAGGGGCGAGGAGAAGGGGATGGAGGAAAGAGGAGAGGGATGGGAGACTGAGGAGGGGCTGCAGGGAGGAAGAAGGGGATGGAGGGATGAGGACGGGGATGGAGGGATGAGGACGGGGATGGAGGGAGCAGGACAGGGATGGAGGGAGCAGGACGGGGATGGAGGGAGGAGGATGAGGATGGAGGAATGAGGACGGGGATGGAGGGAGCAGGACGGGGATGGAGGGAGCAGGACGGGGATGGAGGGATGAGGACGGGGATGGAGGGATGAGGACGGGGATGGAGGGAGCAGGACAGGGATGGAGGGAGCAGGACGGGGATGGAGGGATGAGGACGGGGATGGAGGAGGATGGAGATGGAGGGATGAGGACAGGGATGGAGGGATGAGGAAGGGGATGGAGGGATGAAGATGGGCCTGCAGAGCCCGTGGGGACGAGGGCCCTGAGGAAGGGGGTTCCGGGGAATTGCCTGCGAGAGGCGGCCGGGGCACCCGGGGAGGGCACGAGGGGAGGGGGCGGGGGCGATGCCCGGCCCCGCTCCAGGCGCTGCTCGGTACCTGAGGCGCTCCCGGCTCCGCCGTCCGGGACCTGCGGCCCGGAGCCCCCGGCCCGGCCCTTCCCGGGGCCCGGAGCGTGTCGGGGGCCCCGGCCCGGCCCTGCCCCTGCCCGGCCCGGCGGGTCCGGGGGTCCCCGGT